TGCATGCGTAGCGTTATATTCAACTGTTGTGTGTAAGATAAACAGACTTATGTGTACTTTAAAATCATACTGTTGCTAAAATTGAAGTTTAAAAGAAGAAGTATATTAAATTTTTGTATCTTACATGTAAATAATTTAAGTTGAATTACGGAAATGGCAGAAGCAGCATCTTCAAGTGACGTTGTGGCAGTTGTTTCTTCAGTTAATTACAAAGAAATTGCAAAAGTAAGTTGTCGAAATGCATTTTGTTTATTAGATTATAGATAATTGTTATATGACACAACTAATATCTCGGAATGACTTAAAGACTTTATTATAACCATTGGCTATCCCCTTTTATATTATAAAAAGCTAGTATATTATAACTAAAAACTAATGTAACTATCCTCGACAGTCCTAGTGTTGAGAGAGAGTTTGCATAGATTCGCGGGCGGATAAATACCTTATAGAGAATCTGAGAATGTTCTTCGTTGCCGATCGAATTGATGACTCAGGAGTTTCGACAGAAGGCTCTTCGAATGGAGGGAATTCACTAGGGTACGATTAGATGACAATCTTCAATGTTTGTAAGATATCCGAGAACTCGGACGAACTGTAGAAAGTGCAAACTTTCGATGACGACGGACCCTCTGTGACGGACGAACTCTCGTCTTGTCATCGGACTTCGCCTTTTATTTCGGGGTCCTCAGCTCTTTCTTCTAGTGCATATTTTGGGAACGTAAATCTTCACGTCGAATAGCGATTTATTCGTTAGGTTTCTGGTGACAGATTCGATGTATCTTTATGGAAAGGAAGTGACTTCAGTGTTAAAAATAACATCATATCCTTTGCATTTAATAACCATTTTAAAATACAAAGACAATACAAACGATGTTCAAGTTTTATAAATTCTTTTTCACTCTATTCAAGAACTGAACAGTAAACGACTTGTAGCAAAAACTTCATAAAATTGACAAGTAAATACTATTTCTAAAAAGTACACATTAAAAATGCTCATTTTTATTTTATTCAATTCTTAATTTAACTATCTATAAACTATGAAAACGAATTCAAAGAATGTAATAAATACAATATTCTTCACTTACAGGCAAACAACAAAAGGAGGGAAATTGAAAATATATTCAAGGAGGTCTTAAACAGTAAATACTTTTATTTATTTATTTATTTATTATGCATTAAACCTTTACATTCATATAATGGAAATACTCTACAACCTATTTTGTTCTGGTTATCTTTTCTTTCGTAAGTTTTTTATGAATCCATAAAAATCTACAATTTGTATTAAAACAAAAGATGTGTTTAATGCATAAAGTTTTCTACCTGTAAAAAATTCATTATTTTACTTTCTTAAGAACAAGAGCATTATGCCTATAACAGAAAAAATTATTATTTTAAATTTTTAATTACGCGAATAAAAAATGAGAATCGAACATGGGAAAATAGAAATACGGCGAAATTAAGAAAAAATTGTGTGAAATATTAAAAAAACAATATCATAACCTCACTGAATTATTATCTATTACACAGAAATAATTAAGGACCTATGAAAGTTTTCTTTAGCTGAAAATTATTCATATTAAATATAATGACAATGCACTATTATAATTCGGTAAAAAAAGCGATATTCAATTGCCTATTTATTCCAGTGGAGGAATGCAATCAACATTTGACAGTGCTAAAGAACTGTACAAATGTTCACGTAGGAACGAAAATAGAAATTAATTCCGAAAAAAAGTAAAAGAAGTATCTTAAATAAAGAAGACGAAAAAGAGATAGTAAGACACATCTTTGTAATTCGAATTTCTATGCTCTTTTGTACCGAGAATAAATATTTGTAATTAATTTACCATATTAAACACTACGCGAATTCTTTAAAAACGTAAACATTTTTACACAGACTTTAATATTAACCCTTTCTTTTCCTCCTGTGTAAGGGAATTTCGAAAAATTCCCTCTTAGCGCACACTTCCACGAAGTACCTTAACTGTGTACCAAATTTCAACTTTCAACTCTTAATTGTCTGGGCTCTGTGCTTATTATTCTAACACAACACAAAACTCAATTTTAAAGGGGTGCTTCGAGTCGAGTTAACACCACACATATGAAAACTGTAAAATATCCTAAATTAACAAGTTAAACAAGTTAAAATCGAAATTTTAACTTGTTTTACTGTAAACAAATTCAAATTAAAACAAGTTTCATAATTTTCAAATACAAAATAATACAAAATGAATTAAGATGATCTTTAAATAAATTTCACGTTTTTTTTTTTTTTTACTTATAGAAATGTTCAAAAACTGCTGTCAGAAGTTGAAAAACAAATACATAACTTATTTTTCCTACATGAGATCTTTCTTGTGGGAAGGCAAAAGGAACGATTTTCCTTTAAAGGATTATTTTGTGGAATTAACAGTAGAGAAGGCAGACTTATTTGGAAAGGAAAGCGGAGACAATATAAGTTTGAAGGAGATATTTTCCACAGAAGAAGATGGTCATCAAACCATTCTGGTGACAGGAGATCCCGGTTATGGTAAATCTACTCTGTGCAAGAAAATCGTATACGATTGGGCATCCGCGAATTATCTGCGACACTTTCATCTAACATTTATTGTCATTTTAAGACAATTAAATAATAGAAGTGTGAAAGATGCCTTACTCAATGAAATACACGGACATTCCTCAATGGATAGCGATTGGAAATTTCGCGATAAAGAAATGAACATTTTAGTTATTTTGGACGGGTTCGACGAGATTGTAGAAAAAAGTAAAATTCTAAAATTTATAAGGGAGGAATCTTTCGATATTTCTAGTCGAATGACGATTATGGTTACGAGTCGACCTCAAGCAGCGGAAGACATCAGAGAGGACATGAAAATGAGGTTTTCAATAAAAGGGTTTTCTCCAGAATACCAAGAAAAATACATTTAATTAATATTTATAGAAGACGAAAATAAGGCCAACCAACTTTCTTCTTTAGTGACACAAAATCACTTTTACAGAGAAATAGCAGAATGTCCTTTAATGCTTGATATGTTGTGTTGCCTTCATCACAATTTGGAAATAGAAAGTCTTGAAACGATAACTGATTTATACGTTCGAATATTCTTTCTCATAACCGAACGTTATGTTAGAAAAACTGACCAAGAAGGTAAGTTTAAAAAAGGGAAATATTTCGTGGGAGAAAATTTGCTAGTGAAATTGGCGAAATTAAACAAAAAACTGACATTTTTTACATCATTTTCCTTGGAGGAGTATTTCCAAAACGAAGACGAATATAAATTTATCATTGGACTAGACATTCTTACTCTCGAGTCTTTTTTATGAATCTGAAAATATAATTGAATATAATTTTGTACATCGTACATTTGGCGAATTTCTCTCAGCGTTTTCAGCATATACCGGTTATCTCTCATTTTCGTATATAACTTATACTATAGAGTTTTTTTTTCTTATTGGGATTTTATAAATATGATTTGTTTCCTAAAAGATTTTTACGAGCTCTAGAAAAAAAGATATTTACTCCCGAATTCATGCTCCAAGTTCACAAACAAATCGAACTGAAGAGAAATTGGGAAGAGTTTTGTTCTCATTCGGATGTGCATTGTTTTCCTTCGAATTTCTCTCATTTCCAACAGCTATTGACGTTGTATCAATTCAGAAAGTTGTATTTATATTTCACTGACACTGCGATCGAATATGACGAAGTGGATGAAATAACGCATCGCTTGAGCATTTGCAGGTGTCCAAATAATTTTCCAATTTATATTATTTTAGCTGTTTACTACGAACCTTTCCGATATCATTGGGATATCAGAGAATCTGTTTTCACGAATTATCTATTTCTATCAAATAACCAACGAAATGAATTTTGACGTCTTTTTTATTGGCGTAAAATTTCATTCTATTGGTTCGTACGAAATGTTCACTAATGTAAATTGCAACTTGGATTTACCTGACGACGTGCGGGAATTAGTTGCATTGGAAACTGAAGATGATTCGGAAGTTACTGGCAATTTCATTATTTCGTTGGAGCAGTACGAAGTTTTACGCGATCGTATCAAATTTAAGTCAAGCAGCAAACAGAACTCAATATGTGTGATGATGACACGAGTATAAAATACTGTATATATTTGATTTTTTAAATGATACAATAGTTTAAACTTTACTTATAAAATTACATGTACTTTTCGGTAGCGAATTTCAATGTGCTATTAGTAAAACCTGAAATACTAGAACGACGTGAGTCGTGTGATTAAACATTATTGTCAGATTATAGCTAAGATTAATGAGAAAATAAATGCGATAAAGTACGATGCGTTTGGTTTTAAACTGATTTTGTTGAACTGATTTATGCACACTAAGTTTGCAGTGTTTTAGTGTTGTACACAGTAGTTTTCTGTTCAAATAATACGCTATGTTATCTTAACGGAATAATATATAATAAATTGAGTTTTTTTCCTCATTATTTTCCTCGTTACTGAAATAAAATTTGTATACATTGATATATAGTGTAATAGACATGAACTTTAGCTATTGCAAACACTGTATTTCGAGATACACTGCTTCTATATAGCTACAGTTTGGCTATTAATGAGGACTTATCGCATTAGAATCAGAAAGGAGAGCATATTACAATTTCTTTATTCTTTTGGAGTTAGTTAAAATAATAAAGAGTTTCTTATGTTGTCACATTTTTTATTTTGGTGATAAGTTCTCAGTAGTAGCCAAATTGGAAGCTGCATTGACCTCTAGTGTTGTGAATACTGTCAATTTTTATATTATTGAGTGACGTAGAAGAACACTGAAAACACTTTTTTATTTGTACTGATGAGTAATGAATATTAAAATTGTTGTGTGTTTTTTGGTGTGAAAGTATTAAAGCCGCAGCATGCATACCTGCAACGTGCAAAGAGAAGTCGCAAATTAAGTCACAACTCTTTTTGCTAACAAGCACCCATGCACGCTGACAGTTTCATTTTGTTTTCTTGTTTTTCCCCCAGTTTTGACGTGACGTAGATATTGATAAAGAGGAGACAATTTAGTCACATCCTCATCTTTAAAGCAAAAAATAAGCTAAGTCCGAAATTTATACAATAATAAAACTCTAATACTTTGTATCAATCATAATAAATACGTCTTTATCTAATCGAATTAAAATGCCTATAAATTTGGAATGTATACAAGTAACAATAGAAGGACGAAAAAGAAAGTACCTCGAATTGTTTTCCCGATTAAAAAAATAAAACAGTTTAATTGATTAAATACAAAACATAAATTTTCTAATAATATTTCTTTGAATTTGAAATTAAAATACAAAATTAACATTCCAACGTGCATGCAGATTATTTACAATTATCGAGTAATGTTTTTGTAGAAACTTGTCATAAGATGGCAGCAGTTAACGGTGAAAGATTTCAAGATTAAAATTTAGTTTTCCTTTAGAATTGCGTAAAACTACTTCCTTTAGTGTACGAGTGTATTGTCTCCGTGCTGTTAATACGGCTAATTAATTGGTAATTAGTAAACTCTTGGATAAAAAGTCACTAATTAATACAGGTATACCTTTCTAGTCACTATAGTTAATGACTAAAATGATGTCATTGAACTTATTAATAGGTTGATGAAGTCTCGCGCTATTTGAGTGGATTTACACTTTCATTTCGTACGCCATGATTTCCAATTGTATGAAAAGTTAAAACAAAGATTGGATACGGCAGGAAGCTTCACTTGCGAAAAGTAAGATACATTTGATACTTTTTAAAATGATTTCGTTAAACGATATTTTTTCAAACTAATTTATGCAGTAAAGTTATTTAAAAGTTAAAAATTATTTATAAGATATAGTGTGAATTTATTATATCCAGTGTATAGAGTGCGGATTTCTAACTAATATGCCATAAGTGGTAGTTAGTGACAGAGTTACTGTGAGTATACTGTATATCAATATATGTACAAATTGCAACGAATAGACAATTTCGTATTTGTGCTCTTTTGTTAATTTACACTTTTACGTTAGGTTTTCTGTCATTTTGGGGCATAATTTCCTTTTTTGTGCCATCTCTTTTGAACATTCAATCAATTTTATTGTTCGCACTGTTCTGAAATGCTTAAAAAATTAACGTTTGTAACTGTCATAGCCACTGTGGTCTAGTCTAATATCGTCATTCAGAGAGTAACAATGGAAGGATGTGTGATATTACGTATCTCGATTATATCAGAAATGGTGACAACTTTCCTGGATTTTCAACGTAAAAATGTAAATAATTTGCATAATTATCTTGATACCTACAGCGAAATGATGTAATTCGAATTCTTTGTAAATTATATTTGTATTATCTAAAAACATTTTATAAATATTCTGAGAAGCAATGCAAAACAGGGTTTGGAGCAGTGTAGCCCAGGTTCACTCTGCAACCAAACATTTAATTGCTTAGTACAGTTATTGCAGATAGGAATACATTATTCGAACCTATTTATTCAGTAATTTATTTATAACCTACAGTGATCCACAGTGTAACCTCCTATCGATTTATGTGAGTGTTTCTTAATGTGAGAAAGTATTCCACAATGCGAATAGTAACGATTTGTGTTTTATCTCTGGATGCGTAATACAGTAGAGCGTCGTTTATCCGAAGGTGGGTTATCCGAAGGAATTCCAGTCGCCAAATTTAAATTTTCGCCAGTGCTGTGGCGCTGTAATCTTTGGCCATGTCTTCGGCTACTCAAATATTTTACGTTTTTGATACTAAATTAACTTCTGAAGTATAATTTTTTATTGTTTTTATATTTTTCAATATATTTATTTTGTTTGTACAAAATAAAAAAATAATTTTTAACGATACAATAGTCTTCGTTAGGCTTAACATCGACGAAAATTCAACGCGAACGACACGCAACAGAGAAAAATTTCAACACGGGATAAATTAATATATTTTTTCGTACATAATTGGTTATCCGAAAAATAAGTTATCCGAACAACCCCAGTCCCCAATTGATTCGGATAAACGACGCTCTACTGTATTAAATTTTAAAGCTGTCTTAACCTATAGAATTTTCACTCGACTAATTGCATACTGTCAGTGCCAGCGATAAACTGGAAACTCTACGATTATGTCGGCACCCTCCCTACTACTCTCTGCACAGTACCTTTTCTATCTTGAACACAATTTTCAAGAGGGAGTGTAGCAGTGTTTTGAAATTCACAATTGTGTATATTACTACAACTGTTAAGAAACATTGCTTTATATGAATTTTATATGAATTTTAATGATACAAATTGATCTTTTGGTTTCTTGTGTTAATACGCAATTTTAGTATTATTCTCGAATATATCAGACTATAATTAACATATAATATTTTTTTGTAACAAAGATATGAATTCTGTGTTATATGTGTATGATTTGACGACATTTATATCTAAATTTTCGGGATGAACTTATTCCTTAAAGATCCGATCTTCCCGGATACCTGCGATATCTTTTTTGTGTAAATTGTAAAATATCATATTAAAATGCATTAAATTTTGAATTTAAAATTTATTACTGAAAAACAAGGCACATTGAATTATCTGTAATGTTACTTTTAATAAGGTTGTATATAATTGGGCAGTTCACATTTTTGAGGATACCTCGTATAAGACCAAATCTTTTTCTTTCTGTAGCTGACTTTAGTCACTGGTTAATCAACGTAATAACATATTTTACAAGTTAGAGTGAATCTTCAGAAGAAAAAAAGTTAAGCTTATTATATGAAGTCCGGTATTAATTACTTTTTGTTTCCTCTGTAAATTTTTTACTGTATAATGATTTTAGGTTTTCTTATTTTAGCTATTATATGGTTCCGGTTAAAAACTGGTACCCTTAACTTTGCTAGAAACCCTTCGTGCTATCATGTAAGTATTGTCTAGCCATTATATCTATATAATATGTACATATTACAATAATACTATAGTATTATAAATTATTATCGGTATAGGAGAATTCGACTACGACAACGCATATGAAGACCTGTTTACGTAGAGTCATATTCAAGTGTTATAATAAGGTAAATAGTTAAACGTTTTTTAGTCATATTACAATAGAATTAAACTAAAACAAAGAAGTGTGTCAAATTTTTATATCTTACACAAAAACTATTTAAGTTGAATTACAGAAATGGCCGAAGCAGAAGTTTCAAGTGAGGAAAAGAGTGTCGTAGTTCGTCCAGTTAATTACATACAAGTTGCAGTTGTAAGTCGGCGAAATGCATTTGATGTTAATGTAAATTATAGACAATTGATTTGTGTCACAACTATTATTGCGTAACGAATTAAAGTTTAATGAATTTGTTCAATTTCGTTGAACAAATTCAAATACGTAACTTCGTCATCGTTAAGTTTTAAGTACGAGGAAAGTGTTTCAAATAGTGAAAATTAAATAGGGTAAATCGGATTTTGATGGTGACAGGTGTAATTAACGCATAAGCTAAAAATAATCTGCAGTTATTAGTATATTATGTTGGTTGAAAATCATGCTCGTTTTCCGTAAAATATGTGAATAAATACATCGAATGTTTTTCTTTCTGATATCCAGAATTCTTTACACATGTTTACGTTTAATAAATTCTCGAACATCTTAAATTAAAATATTAGCTGAAAATTTTATGTTTCTTCCTCCTAATACTTCAGATAGTTTGATAATGACTCTAACTGTAATCGATATAAAATAATACAGTAAGCTTTTATACAGGGTGTACTCATGTAGACCAACTGTTCGCCAACAATCTCACACTTCTAAAGGTGAGATTATGATTTAGCAAAAAATTCTATCTCGTTTTTATGAATTTGTTTTCCAGAAAATACTATTATGTTGCGTGTTTATGTTAAATTTGGTATGATGAAAAAACACCAGTTCAGTCAGGTATTTTCCAATATAATTTATTTATACATTCTCAGCTTCCAGAACATTTATTCGCTATTATTTTTCTTATCGAACTTCACAATGATAACAGAAAAAACTTATATTTAACTTTTATTTATGCCTTTCGGTGGGTATTCTCACAATAGAACAGTGTAGTGATGAAAAATGATTTCAGATTCTAATCGAGTGCCTTCGTAACGTGGTTGCATAATAAGTAGTGCATTAATATTAAATACAGTTAATATTTTTAATTTAACTTTTTATAAACTATACTGTAGACAAGTTTAAAAAGTATAATGTATATTATTTAACAGGAAACGGACGGAGTGACGCAGAAAGAAAATATATTTAAAGACCTATTAAAAGGTAGATGCTTGTGAATCTTTTATTTTATAAATTAAATTTTTAAATTGTTATATTTTAATATTTTTTACGGAGATGATTGTTAAAATTATCTTAAGCGCATAGCCAAACAATCGCCTTAAATACTCGGGCTATAAATTCGCTATTTTTAAGTGAATAGTGTGCATATTAAATAGTGTGGCTTCGGGTTGTTTAATATGTTAAGTACGAAAATTCTTCCTAGTAAATACAGTTACACATTAACAACTTTCTTATTATTTAACTGCATTTAAGTTAAATTAACATAATAATTAGACAAAAGTATAATATAGATTTGCTATTGATTTCAGTAGAGAATGGTAATGAATACACGATGATGCTAAAAAAGTGTACACAAATTCACATTGGACCAAAAATAGAAATTCATTCCGACGAACCGAAAACAAGATCCTTAAAGAAAGAAGAGGACGAAAGGAATGGTAAGTGCGTGTCTTCACAATACACATACAAAAGAAACATTGTTATAATTTTATTTTTTGTTATTATGTTGCGAGAGTGAATATTTGTAAGTAATTTATTATATTAAACAATACGTGAATTTCTTAATTATATAAAGTGAATTTACAGTAATGAAAAAGCTGTAATTTGTATAGTTTTAGTTTATGGTTCATTGTAAAGTTTTCTGTTAATATGATTATATATACATTAATTTATAATCACAAAAATTAGTTGAATTTACACATTAATTATCTTTGAATAATTTTATAGTCAGTATTTTGTCATTTAATAAAATATCCATTCTCATCTCACTTTGTTTATATAAAAAATATTTACAGTAACGTAAAAGATTCAAACAGTAGATTCATTTTTCATTAGTTTAGAATTCTAAATTAAATTTTTTTTTATTTGTTTTTTACTATTTCAAGGTAATTTGATGAGTAGAAGATGATATAGGTATTGACAATTTCTAGTTAATTGGCATTATTTCATCTGTTATTAAAACACTGATCGAAAGCGCGGGTTAACAGCTACAAATAAGGCCCATCATTGATGAACCAATTTGGTTTATCAATTTTCTTGCATAGGTTTTGTTATTGTGTGCTCATAGACAAATTCTGTAATATGCAGTAATGTAATAGTAATTATCATCAGCTGGAAAATGCCAGAAGAAAGGCTGAACCTGATTAGGGCTGCAAAGATCAATAGATGTGTTGTATGCGACTTTTTTGATAAACTAAAGGATGTATTGGCTCGATTAAATACTTTCGACAAGAGACATCTATAGAAGTTAAAGGCTGTACACTCGCTTTCGTAAACAACAAAATGTGTATGCCAAAAAATGAGAAAAAAGAGTGCATCTTGTAGAATTTGATCACGTTGAAAACTTATCTACTGTTTCGTGTTGAAATGCGCTAAATCAACTCATGTTGCCTATGATTATTTTAAAAGGGAACAGATTAAATCCTGAACGGAATGTAAATCTTTTACCTGGCACAGAGGTTGATATAACTGAGGTTGATGAACAGAGCAAACGTTCATCAAATGGGTCTATCATTTTCAAAATTTTTGTTAAATACATTTATTGTATTAAATTAAATAGCTCTTACTTTTTACCTTAATTAATAAATTATTTGTTTAGGGCTCTTTCGTATGAAAGTAGGTATCATTTGAAATCCCTGTTTCAAATACGGTCTATTACATAAATTTTGGAAAATATATTATTACAGAAAACTTTTCGAATGTTGCTAATTTTAATTTCATATTTCTGCAAGTGAACGACTTAGTATGTTGCAGTACAACTTTCAGAATTTTTATATTAATAGTGAAAATACAAAATGTCTTTAATCGTTAGATGTATCTTATTTGAAAAATGTACTGTACAATAATTTATTATAAGTTCGAAAAAAATACAATCGTATAATATATTAGTTTTCGTTTGGTAAAGAAAAATGGCTTTATGAAGTGTATTCGAAGCATACATAAACTTAAAAAACTTTGATGATTTAATGGACAGCAAGTTAACTTGTTGATAGAGGCTAGGGCGGGATAACTGCGCTTGTAAAATGCTTCTGCCAGAAAAATACCAAAATTCCTTCGGTCTTATGGAATTGGCGATAGCATAGCCGTACAAATTGCAGGAGTAGAGTCAAAATGACCATTGCAAACAAGTGAATTTTGGCATATTCTAAATATATAAACACGTACAGAAAAAGTATTAAAAAATTTTTTTCATCAGTCGACATGGCGAACTATAATATGCTCCCATCTTAGTACAGTATACATACTTATAATGAATGATTCTAGTGTGAGCAATGAACGTCTATAACTGAACTGAAAATGATATCAGATCTGAGTATAAAATGAGAAATTGTGTTTCTGAACTAAAACACTGGCGTATGTATTAGCATTAGGCAGGCCATGAGTGACACGATATAAAAGACAATTTCGGCCAGTTTCTGGTGCAAAATAATGGAATCTAAATCACACACCTGAAAAAACAAACTTGGTCTTTCTTTCTATGGGGAATGCGAATGAAAACAGCACAAAATCGCTTCACGCGTTGCCGGGCATTTCTAGAACGGACAGATTGGAGTAGATAGTCCATAGAAGTAGGAACTACCAGAAAATAAAGTTCTTTCTCTGATTGTCTGTTTTTTAAGTGTGAAAATAGGCGGCCAAAACGAACAACATGGTCTGCTTGCCGCAAGAAAGCTGCCATGTTTTATTCTGCAATACCTAACTGCCTGATGGCGAAAATGAAAATTTTGCTGTTGTTCCAAAGCGTGTTCTACAACACGACGTATAAATCGTCTTCCTACTATACTCCAACATTGTACAATAGTGTGATTGAAATTATCAAACCCGGCGGATGACCTTCTCTATTGGCAGGATGGTATCCATTCAATCATTAATTAAGTCGATGCACTAGCAAAAGCTGTTCGCAGTTTCTAATAGAATTGAGTTCGTTCTTAAAATTTAATTGGTCGAATTTAAGAAACATTTTGTAATTTCGCGTATTTTGACACGAGAAAATTCGAAATATAAAAAAAATTCTTCGACGATTTCGTTTTGGACATTGAAGAAAGCTATCAGGAAAGACAACAATACGTTTGTACTGTACGTTCTTTTTATACCAGTAGCAAATTAACGTTGTATTTGGTTCCTCAAACGAATATTGTTAGCAAACTAATATCAAGAGAGATTCAAGCAAATTTTCATATGTTTATTACTTTAGAAAGTACTGAATGATCACTATTCAATTCGAATGCTTAGTGACATATGATATGGTATACTCTTGATATTGATTAAAATTTTTAGGATAAAAAGAGATTAAATTCTCTTATAATTCTTGATTTGCAAATAAAATAAATAGAATATACACGATATTTCATTAATTATTTTCCCTCCTTTTTTTCTCTTATAGAAATGTTCAACAGTTGCTGCCAAATATTGAAAAATAAGTATATGACTTATTTCTCCTACATGAGGTCTTTTTTATGGGAAGGCAAGAGGAACGACTTCCCATTAACGGATTATTTCATAGAATTGACTGTACAGAAGGCAGATTTATTTGGGAAAAACAGCGGAGATAAAATAAGCTTGAATGAGATATTTTCCATACAACAAGATGGACACCAAACTATTTTAGTTACAGGGGATCCCGGTTATGGCAAATCTACTCTTTGCAAGAAAATTGTGTACGATTGGGCAACCACGAGTTATCTTAAACACTTCGATTTAACTTTTATTGTAATTTTAAGAGAATTAGGCGATGGATGTGTGAAGGATGTAATACTGGACAACATGCATGAACACCCAATAACTGACAAAGATTTGCATCTACAATATAAACGACTGAATATTTTAGTAATTTTGGATGGGTTCGATAAGATTGCAGAAAAATACAAAATTATAATATTTATAAGAGAGGAATCTTTTTATATTTCCCGTCGAATGACGATTGTAGTTACCAGTCGACCTCAAGCAGCAGAAGACATCAGAGAAGACATGAACATGAGATTTTCCATAGAAGGGTTTTCTCCAGAATATCAAGAGAAATATATTAAATTAATGTTTAGAGAAGACAAGAGTAAAGCAACTGAACTGTCTTCAGTTCTAAAAGAAATCGACTTTTACAGAAAAATGGCGGAATGCCCGCTGATGTTACACATGTTGTGTTGTCTTTATCACAATGGAAAGATGACAGAAGTTGAAACAATAACTGATTTATACATCCGAATATTTATTCTTGTAACCGAACGTTATGTTAGAAAAACAAATCAGCAGAACAAGTTTAAAAGAGGAAAATATTTTGTGGGAGAAAATTTGCTAATGAAATTGGGAGAAGTTCACTTTATCACCTCAGAACGATTGAGGAATTGTTTTCCAAATGAAGAAGAATACAACTTTATTATTGGACTGGACATTCTGACTCTCGATTCCTTTTCTGAATGCGATAATATAATTCGATATAAGTTTGTACATCGCACATTTGGCGAATTTCTATCAGCATTATCAATGTACGTCAGTTTTCAATCTACCAATCTATGTATGTTCTCACCTGCTAATAGTATTATTGGTATGAAATTCTTGTTTTTGTTGGGATTTTATCAAGAAGAACCTTTATCCGAACGGTTATTAACGTACGTAGAAAAGGAAATGTTCAAGCCTTAATTCATGCTTCAAGTTCACAAACAAATCAAACTGACAAAGAATTGGGAACGATTTTGTTCTCGTGCAAAAGTGATATTTTATTCTTGGAAAGACTTTAGTGATTTTTAAGAGCTAGTGGAGTTGTATGAATTCAACGAGTTATATTTCTATTTTCAGGAGAGAAAGAATGAAGACGATGAAACGGAGAATGAAGCAATTTACTTTTTCAACTACTGGATTTTTCCGAATAATATGAAGATTTATCTTATACTCTCACTTGACAAATGGCCTTCTGAAAATAAATACGACATTACAGAACCTGTTTCACGTATTATCGAATTGTTTAATGTAACAGACACAAGAGATTTGGACATCTTTCTTATTGGTGTAAGTAAGCCCTTGGATGATTCGTTCGATAGATTCACAAATGTAAATTTCAATTTCAAATTATCTGACCACGCGCGGAAATCAGTAGAGGTAATTGAAGACGTGCAATTGGTTGCATTGGAAACTGAAGAATTCGTAGGAGTTTCTAACAGATATATTCTTTCTTTGAAACAATACGAAACTTTACGTCGTCATATCATATTTAAATCTGCGTGTAAACAGAATTGAAAATGTTTGATAATGTAGACGAATAGAAAATATATATTATCGTTTTGAAATAAGAAAATAGCATTAAGTCTGTTTACAAAATCACATGTATTTTTCACTGGCAAAGTTCAATGTAATGAAATGGGTAGGCTGAAACTTTATACAATGACAATCGTTGGATGCAACATTTATGTGAGAACGTAGCTTACATTAATGATTAAAAGATATTAGTGTTCGGTTGAAATATTCTTGTTAGAATATATCTTAGATAAAAGTAAAATAATTTCATTGAAGTTAATCATATAATTGTTAAGTTTAAAATTGTTTTTGTTATATTAACGCACATTTTGAACTGTTGGATGATTCCATTCACGTGAAATTTTGCGCCAGGTTTTATTATGGTAAAATACATTGTGAATTCAATAGTTGTTCCTTTTGTGAATAGAAACAAAAATTAAATTTGTATAGTTTTTTAAACAATATGGCAAACAAGAACGTTTTCTGTTTTAAGTACTCGAGATATATTGTTTACTACAATAAATTAAAAATAAAATCACGACGTACCTTCAAATACGAAATTGCTCGCCACTTTGTGTCGTTTTATTTCTTATTGTCATTCAGTAAAACAAAAAAATAAAGTATTTTGAAAATGTGGACAATTTTTTTTGGATCTTTAAAAAAACTTTTATGCGATGAAATTCGCAACTAATCTAAGTACACGTATTCCAAATAAAAAACAAAACGTATTTAGGTATAAATTTTAATAACTTTCAGTACTTAATCAAACAGATAACAATAACTATACTAATTTAATAAGTACCTAACAATTGTTAAGACTACAATGTGAAAAAAGAAAAGCAAACACACACACGGCAATTCTCTTTTATTACTATTAGTTTATTTCCCCTTCCATGTTGAGGTAATTACTCAAGATGGTGGTAAACGAAAGGAACGGTGGTTTAAACGTAAATTTATAATATATTTTTGCATTTCAATAAGTAAAGATAATAAAGTGAGTAATTGATACGCGTTCCAAAACTGTGTTTCCTGCACGGAGAACTACTTTGAAATTTTTCATGTGAAACAGATTAACAACTGGTAACCACTCCGAGACCCACATATTTCTGTACGAGGCTTTCCGCATTTCTGGAAAGAAAATGTACTTTAACTTGAAAAGTTATATTAATAAGAAATATTAAAAATAATTATAATAATTCATGACACTTCTCTGAACATCAAACCAAAGAAAAAAAAATTACAATTCAGCTTATTTACACTTATCTATTATGTTAACGGAATATTTTGTCAACAGATGGCACCACGTAACAGTACACTATCGATTTCCTGTGTGTTGCGCAACACTCACCCTTTCAAGGTTGGATGCGTGCTTTCTATGCTAGGGTGTTTCAATTGTTTGCTGTTGTTACAAACGAGACGATCAACTGGTCATCACTAAAATTGATTACACGGTGTTCATTAATTAACACAGGTAACATATTTTATTCGCTATAAACTCGGAGTGATGTTATTGACGTAGCAGCCACGATTGTTTGTAAAACAACGAAGTCGGTATCATCATACGTCTGACGTCACTGGGAAATTACGAGTGACGTTGAACTTCGCGCGTGTTAGCGAGTGAATTGATGACCTATTAATTAAACAAAGGTTTCTAATCGATCGAAATGGGACGTAAATCTTACAAGATAGGATTTTAAGTGGATTTTTAACAGAACCAATAAAAGTAAGCTATTTAAAATTTTCATAAAAATCCGATTATTACAATAGAAATTACTAATTATTTAATAATTAATCATATAGTAGATGCTTATGGATATGTGATAATTATTGTTATTATTTTTATCGGGGCAGAGTGCAAATTATCTGTTAAATTCGGCAAAAAATGGTGAAAATTCGAGCAAATCAAGAACAATATTCAGGGAGACAGAAAAAAACACACAAAAAAATTGGCCATCGTGTTTTTATTTATGTAAAGTTTCGGACCATTTAATTTCTTCGTCCTTCTTCATCTAAATATAGCCGTATGCCAACAATAACAGTATTAGAATGAAGGGGTTACTTTAATTAAGGGATAAACTTTATAAACAAGAGCAGAATACGTTTGTCGTTTACATTTTTCTGCAGATAAACATATATTTTACACAATAATTTGACTAGTGTTATATTACTTATTCTGTAAGATCTTTAATAATTGTTATTCTATATAATTTTATATACATATTTTATAATTAGTACACGGATAACCAAACTTACTCATACATGGACTCTTTCAAAATAAATATTTTTTTCATCAACCTCTTTAATATTATATACTATATATTAAGCAGTATTATTAATAGATATTTTCCTACATTTATCTAAGAGGAGAAACACTAAAAAAATTTTAATACATTAAAAAACTGTAATTCTTTTTATATTTCCAAAGTTTTATCAATCCCTAACTGGCCAATATCAACCCTGTTAAAAACCCTGAATTGTTGCGATATGTATTGTATTTATTCTAACGATATGAAGTGTTAGATGTATTATCAGTTATAGTCAACGTAACAAGGAAAAAGGTGTCCTCACTTGGAAGCATAATCAGCACGTTGCTGGATAAAGCAGTTTTAATACAGATATAGATGCAAGAAAATACTTATCCCATCATTGGCTCGCTTACTTACTTCCCATGTAAAAGTGCCCAATATTTTGTCAGCAATTCTCGCTCGAATAATTTTTTTCTATCAATATTTACCTCTATACATTACTAAAAATTTTACTAACTTTCCTCAAACCTTACACAAATAAAATGAAAATTATATTTATTTATTTTATTAATTTTTCATATGGATATATTACTTTCTCTCTGAAACGATGCTTACTTATTTATTTAAGTTATTAATTAAAATAATTTAATATTTTACTTATATAATTAGGCAAGTGATAAGATGCTGGAACATGTAGATATCTGTCAGGAAGTTCTAAATGGTAAATAAGTTTTTGTGTTTGATATTTTATATTTTAATTAATATCTTAGTATTAAATTACACTTTTTTTCCTTCTTAATCAAAAACTGTTCTCACCGTTAGTTTTTCTGAAATATTTCCATTATTTTAATTATTTCTAAATCATTGGTCATAGTCTCANGAACTTTTTCCGCTTCTACTTTTAGTTTTAATTGACCTAATCACCAATTTCCGTTGGTTTTATATTTCTGATAAAGACTCCTTCACACGGAAGTATTGACTCAAAATTTAGAATTGAAAGTAAATGTAAATATAAACTTTTAATTACAATTTAAAACCATTTTAAATCAGTTGGAGCACGATTAGGAATGTTCGGAACCTGTCATTCGCGGCTTCTTGTGGCAATACACGCCTTTGTTTTGTATTATTTTTGTAAAATAATTTCGCTAAATAATACAATTTTAATTTACTTAGACTTTATAAACGACTTTATAAAAGAAAAAATGACATTTCTGGACTAGGGGCACCTTGAAACATCGAGAAATGCAAACAAGATGATATTACTTTGATAAGTAAAAAACACAATAACCTATAAAGTAAAATTTTTTTCTTTATCACTTCTTTATTCTCGAACAATGAAAACGTGGCACCCCTCTGATGCTATGCTGAATTACCAAAGCAAATTTTTACTGTACTCTACTAAAGTTTATTAAATGTATACAANTATTTTAATTAATATCTTAGTACTAAATTACACTTTTTTCCTTCTTATTTAAAAACTGTTCTAATGACTCATTGTTAATTTTTCTAGAATATTTCCATTATTTTAATTATTTCTATGGTCATAGTATCATTTAGCCCTGCACATCGTTTGTTCGTCCAGGCCCACAATGAGGGGGACCGGATAAAGATAATCGGGGCCCGACATATCCGGACAGACCACCTCAAAAATTTTTCGGCGGTTGTTTCTCGGGGGAGAGGTTTTTTGTCCTTTAGTAGTCCTCCGGTATGAATAGCACTTGTCGAAAACTGGCCTGGAAACAATTATTGTAAAATCTTTAAGCGTTATATACACTAAAGGGCTGTGGAATTCATCTGTGCTGATGATCGGAACCCAAAGACTATTTAACTTCCTTTTCAGATTCGGTTTATACATTTACGTCAAAGCGACATTTGGGCATTCTGCCGAGAGGGATTCCTCTCGGGAGGACTTTCTACGGGAAACTTCACCCTATTTAAGTGCTTCGAACGTGAAGTAAGGCATAAAATATTACGTGCCTGTTGGAGAGGCGCTATCCAAAATATGGATNCTTCTTTATTCCCAAACAATGAAAACATGGCACCCCTCTGATGCTATGCTTAATTACTTACCAGAGCAAATTTTTACTGTACTCTACTAAAGTTTTTAAATGTATACAAAATAAAAATTTTTCAAATAAACAACCGAAAAAAAAACAAAAAGAAATGTATTATAAAATAATGACTTTTCTTACGTCTACTTTCTTGTTTTTTCTTTTTTTCAGAATCATCCTTTTTTTCCTCCTGATCTCCTGTTAATACAATTTTACATAATGTGTCAGAAATTTGTTATTTCTTCCATATCAAGATTTTAAAAAATTAATCGATGAATATAAAATTATAACAAAACGTATTGAAATACTTCAAAGTGTACTCATGTAAATTGGAACTCTAAATTCAATTAAAAAATTGCACAAAAATCTTAATTGAAAAGGTTAGTTATTTAGTACATTTTATTATCTTTCTTGGTTAATTTATTCTAAATGAACGATGTGAAAGAGGTTAATTAATTGCATATCTAATATATGATAATATATATATGTATATATTGTACAGTACCTTCTGTTTCTGTTATGTTTCTTTTACAAATGGCTTCCAAANCAACCTCCAGAATAATTGATAATGGTGTGTAAAATTACCTTTGAATTATGTAGAAATTTTCACAAGTAGAAAAGATTTGTTGGAAAATATTGACCAAAAAAAACTCTTTGAATTGAGTCAAAAATTTAAATAGAAAAATGAACTTAGATCAAACCTTACTCAACACAAAATAAAGAAAAGAGTAAATTTTAAAGAAATTTGCAGTATTTCTCGGAATGAGAAGAATTTTCCGGGTTAAAAAACAATTTGGATCCCGGGCTCCCTGGAGAAACCCTACGAGAGACGTTGACCAGAATACAGCTTCAGGTTCGTCTGAGGGCTTGTGAGTTATTACCCCCGTTACAGGGCAGCTTTCACAAGTGTTATCGGTTCAGTCAGGAACTTACTTCCATGATGGTGTAAAAGCACAGCTCTGCGGTAAAATTCTGTGTTACGTAATAAAAATTCAACAAGAAGATTAGGTTCAATTTTGATACTACCACGTATATAATACTTGGTAATAATTTTTGAATAATTAATTGCATATTATTTTCAGCAGAGAAGTGTAACCAATATCCAGTAATACTCAAGAAATGTACAGACGTTCACATTGGTACGAAAATAGAAATCCATTCTCAACAACCACAAACAAGTTACTTAAAGAAAGAAGATGAAGAAGAAAATGGTGAGTGTCTACACTTATAACGATTATTGGAAAACGTTANATTTTAATTAATATCTTAGTATTAAATTACACTTTTTTTCCTTCTTAATCAAAAACTGTTCTCATCGTTAGTTTTTCTGAAATATTTCCATTATTTTAATTATTTCTAAATCATTGATCTTATTATACTTTATAGATTTACTTATTATAGACTAATAACACTTATACTTTGGACATTTTACCTGTTTTCATTCTTGACTCCTCACTTTGTAAGCTTTTTTAGCCCTACACATCATTTCTTCGTCCAGGCCACAATGAGGGCAACCGGATGGAGATAATCGGGGCCCGCCATATCCGAATAGATTACCTCAAAAATTTTTCGGCGGTTGTTTCTCGGGAGAGAGGTTTTTTTGTCATCCAGTATTCCTCCGGTATGAATAGCACTTGTCGGAAGCTGGCCTGGAAATTATTATTGTGAAATCTTTAAGAGTTGTATACACTAAAGGGCTGTAGAATTAATCTGTGCTGATGATCGCAACCCAAAGACTCTTTAATTTCCTTATCAGATTCAGTATATACATTTACGGAAAAGCGACAGGGGAGCGTTCTGCCGAGGGGATTCCTCCTGGGAGGACTTACTACGGGAAACTTCACCCTATTTATGTGCTACGAACGTGAAGTACAGGCAGAAAATACAACGTGCCTGTGGATAGGAGCTATCCAAAATATGGATATAGCAAAATCGAGGCAAAAGACGAAAGGCAAGTATCCGGTCGTCTCTGAGAGAGACGAAAGACTAGGGTTTCGCATTTTCCGGTCTTTTGCTTATCCTGGGATTTCGGGGAAAAAGTGAACTGCTTACTCAACACAAAATAAAGAAATGAGTAAATTTTAAAGAAATTTGCAGTATTTCTCGGAATGAGAAGAATTTCCCGGGTTAAAAAACAGTCCGGATCCCGGGCTCTCGTTGGATAAACCCTACGAGAGACGATGACTAGAATACGGCTTTAGGTCGTCTGAGGGCTTATGAGTTATTAACCCCGTTACAGGGCAGCTTTCACAAGTGTTATCGGTTCAGTCAGGAACCTACTTCCATGATGGTGTAAAAGCACAGCTCTGCGGTAAAATTCTGTGTTACGTAATAAAAATTTAACTAGAAGATTAGGTTCAATTTTGATACTACCACGTATATAATACTTGGTAATAATTTTTGAATATTTAATTGCATATTAATTTCAGCAGAAAAATGTAACCAATATCCAGTAATACTCAAGAAATGTACAGACGTTCACATTGGTACGAAAATAGAAATCCATTCTCAACAACCACAAACAAGTTACTTAAAGAAAGAAGATGAAGAAGAAAATGGTGAGTGTCTACACTTATAACAATTATTGGAAAACGTTANATAGACTTACTTTTATACTGCATTTTCCGTTCAGCATTACTGCATCTTTGTCTTTCTCTCCGCATTCAGTTTTAGAAGAAATGTCTCTTATTTTAAGTTGATGACGAGAAATGTCATAATTGATGCTTGCATCCCCTTCTTTGGCTTTGATATAACGCTCTTCTATATCGGGTGGAGCCATTCGAATATTATTATTTTGAGGTGAATAAATGATGACGAACACGAGAACAAACAAGAAGAGTAGCAAATTTAGAAGGTAGAGTATTTTCATTTGAATTTGATAGTCTTTTTCTTTATTATTCTCCATAGTGCTAAGGAACAAATATCATTATTTAACACAAAAGATTTATTATTAAATATACTTCTGAAAAAATTAAACATACACATAAAAGTATAACAATAAAATTACATGTAAATTGCCTGAGGTAAGAAATAAAGCCATTTAAATATCTACAAGGAACAGTGTGTAGTTATTGCTCATTCTTTACAACTGAAAGGTTTACGTATGCAAAAAAGTTACCCCACTCATCGTTAGTGTTGGAGGGATGTATGACAAAATCCTCGAATGCTATCACACATTTTCATCTGTATTTAAAATAAAAGTACCGAAGTTTTTGAAAGCTTTAATAAAAGTATGGCTGATTATACTAATGAGTTTTGAGTTTAAACTTTTAATATTAATTCATAAATTAATTAAAAACTTCAAAAATTTAGAAATTAATTAATTAAATGTAATATTTATTTAGAAAGTCATACATGACGTTGTTCTTGGCTGTATCAATTGGTCATTTCTCGACTGTGAGATATGTTTACCGAGAATACCTAAATGGAGAACTCACATCTCCATATAACTATACAACAGTACATTATTATTAATATTTTCTTTAATCAATGTAATATTGGTAAGTTTCATATTACACAGACACACAGAGCAACCAGTGGTTTTCTATTGTGGTTTTCATTAACGATGATATTACTTTGATACTGAAATTCCGATTCTTTCGACCACTGGCAACACGATCCGTGATTACAGTAAGCAGATTCTATTAAATTTAGCTTTACGATTTGTAAGACTTTAGCGTAAACGTATCCTTATAATTTATTTAATGGTCTACGGGACAAAATAGCTTTGAAAATAAAGTATATTGTTCTATCGTCGAGGCGTTTCGGCAAGTGTATGAATGGTTTTTTTAGCTTAAGTTGTTCGGACGAGGGTCGTAAATTAAGCATAACCGATTTTCTGATTTATTTGTTCGTTATCGATTTGACTTTTTTAGTTTGTTTGTATTAAAAAATGGTAATATGGTAAAAGATGCGAGCCACCTTGCAATAGTCAGAAGCCCCACAGATAGGAAAACACAGATGTAAATTACTATGAAGTTACAGAACGTAATTCGACTAATTAAAAATAACGTTAACGTCTAATTATATTATTGAGAAAGAAAAGTCGGAAACAAATGACGCTATTACGCTGTTACTATCGCTAAAGCTAAGGAAACAAACAGAAGGAATTTCTCTAATATATTTTCTTCGATAAAACAAATAAATTTAAATATTAACGATTTGAATTTCGAAGTAAACTCAACATAAAGTTAACAAACAGTGGGCTTACCCACCCATTTACAATATTTCTTTCATACGTTTAAAATTTAAAAAATGTAATTATTTATCATAAAAAAACCACGCTGAAAGAACTCGGAACATATTTATTTCGATCGAATTTATAAAATTGTTTTATAGAAAACAAATACTTACCAACTTGTTTTCGTGTTGAACTTCAACTCTTTCCGCTTCTATTTCCAANGAATTTTTGATGCAGTGGAGAAAATTTGTGATATTCCTGGAATTTTTGAGAGAGTCTGACAGTCAATGGTTTGCCACTGATAGATCAATAGTGGTCACTTTGATACTTTCCTATAACTTTGCACAGGATGGGTAGGCACTAACTGTATCTAGCAGGGTGATGTGTTGTGTATGGCATAATGTCTTGACTTTAAAGTCTCTGACTGGAATAACAATATACACTGGCCTTATGATGTCTGACAAAAAATGTTCATTTTGCCCACCTCTACCACTCCTTCAAAGTAATGCTTGGGCTTTAGAATAACTTTGTATAAGTTTATTTTAATTAATATGTTTAGGGTCATGGTAATTCTGACAACATTAGATAATTGATAATAATATCCATGACTACAACAAGCAGATTCTATTGCAATTACTTTTAGCAGTTTCTGTATTTTATTTTATTTTTAAGTGTTTCATAGTTGAAGGGTTTTGAAAACTAATTAATTTGTTTAATTTTGAAATTCAGTATTGGATTTCTTTATATTTTCATCAGAATCAAATATTTTTTTTATTAATTAAATGATGCATGTTGTTATAGCAAAATTTTTTCATATACAGTACATCTTTCTTACAAATATAATTTTTTGGTTAATTTAAGATATTTATGTAAAACATTTATGTTATTTTCAAAACGTTTTAGTTTGTTTATTAAATATCAAATTTTTTAGTTAAATTTATTAAACACATTTTTTAAGTTTATATCTTATGGCATCTATTATCCATATATAGGAAATAAGAAAATGAATTGTTTTTACAAACATAGAACCAATTATTGGTGTATACAAAACCAAAAAAACGATCTCTGCACAAACGTCTTCTAACTCCTGAGTTCTTGTTCAGTTGCAAAAACAATTACCTGATGGAACGTCCTCAGAAGGAGTTAGAAAATGTTTGTGCAGAGATCGTTTTTTGATTTTATATACACCAATAATTGGTTCTGTGTTCATTATTACGTATTTCTAGTGTGGTATATTTTAATGAATTGTTTTCAGGTAATGTTGAGAATCTTAAAGTTTTCATAGCTTATCTATTTGGAACATTTAATATGAATCCAAGAAATAAGGATATAATTTACATATTATTCTTTGTGACATTCAGAAAAATTAATATTTATTAGTGAATCAAATAGCAATATGAAATATTTCATATATCTTTTTATTATTTTCAACGTAAGGAATTTAGAATTATTATTTTTTGTTTCACTAATATAAAAGAAGATCAAAAAATATTTTATTGTAAATTCAATAAAAAAATTAACTTTGTTCTCAGAAAAATTAATGAAAAGTAATAATTAAATAATTGTCCTGATCTCATTGCACAAATCAGATATTGGAAGATTTTAAAATTCTGTGTTATTATTATTGGAAGATTTGTTATTATGCTCTTCTATCATAATTCAAATAAAATTAAAGAAAGTTTTTTCATTTCTTTTATAACTAGCATACAGTTAATAAGGTGATTGAAGTCTGAGTCATAGAATTAATAATGTACAAAATAAATTATAATGAACACAGCTAAATGTTGTTATAAATGAAAGACTAATAGTTTAAATTGATATTACATTCAGACTTAATTAAAAATATTATCTGCTTCTGTAAATGCTTTATTTGAAGCTTGTGCCAAAAGTTTCGTTTATTTTTGATGTTACCTTGTGTACATAAAAGTATTAACTGTGATTGAAATTCAATCCGCTCCAAGTATAAAATAAAAATAATAGATATAACATAAGTGACCTAACAGTTAAGGATTCAGTTTTGCATTTACTCT